AAACACAAAGATAACATTTTTAAAAGCAATAATTTTAGGAAAATCAAGGGGTTTGGAAGGGAGAACAAGTCAATAAGGATTCTTTTCTTTGTTTTCCCTCAAAAATCCTGAGTTCATGCATAATTGTGTAGCAAACAACTCAAAAACTTTTTCCTATTTTTTAAGAAAATGACAACAGAATTTCCATTTTCAAAGGGCCGGGAACCCAGCATTCGATTGTCAACTTGGAAGAAAACAATAAAAAATTATACAATGTCGTTAGTCTTAACGAATCATTCATATTTTACCGAAAAAAGAAAGTATTAATTTAGAAAAACAGACAGAAACAGAAGGATGTAGGTCTCTGTCTGACCAAAGAGGAGAAGAATTAAGAAAGATAAAAGAAGAAGGTCGTTCTATTTAAGACTTTAAGTTACATCCTGTAACAATGGATAAATACTGTTCTTTTCCTATTGCAATTTTTTTTTAATAAATTTTTGTTATTTATTATAAGAATAGTTATCGATTACTTAAATAATTCAATGGTTATTTTTTTCATTGAAAATAAGAGATTTTAAATTTAAATTCGCATAACATAAAATAAAATGAAATAAAAAATAAAAAATAATTATTTTTTTATTATGCAACTAAATTAAAAAATTATTGAGATTAGGTACGGTCAGAATTGGAGGAGAAATAAAAGATTACTTGGTTGATTGCGAGGCGATAAGTAAATTGAGTGCTACACGCAAAATCGTTACATAATGTCACGCGCAATTTCACAATAAGTAAAATGAGTAAATTAACTGCACTTTTAGGCTTAATAATTCGACTCAAGTTTTAAGTATTTAGGTGAGATAGTTTGAGTTTTAACTTTCACTACTTTCATGAACTTTATAAAAAAGTAAATTAATGGTCGTGTGCCTCATTTGAGGAGTTAGAATATTCACTCAATCTAATAATAAATTATTAACAATTAATTCATATTAATTTTCTAACTATTATCTCGTTAAATAAAAAAAAAAAAGTAAAATGAGTAAATGTATATAAGTGCTACACCAAATCGTTTCTTTCGTAACATCATGCGTAGCATGCCGTTATGTTAAATGAAAAAAAATATATGTAAGTGTCACATTAAAGATTTATTAATTTAAGTAAAAAGAATACAGTTTTTTTAAATAAAATTTTAAATTTGAATATGTAAATAGAAAAATTGATTTTATAAATTTTTTTTATAGAATTTAATATATTTTGATTTTAAATTAATTATGATGTAAACTAGTTTTCAATTATTAAGAGATTAATAAAAAATATATATGTAAGTGTCTACACATAAATTGTTTTTTCATAATATCATGCCTAATATGATGATGTTATGTAAAATAAATAAAAACATATAAAATTATAATAATATATTGTTAAAATAAGTTTTTTATGAACATATTGTTAAACTAATCGAGACATCATATTTCTAGTGATATTACACCACAAACATTGTTGTACCGCATAATTTTTTCATTAAAAAAATTATAGCATTCGAGTGTGATGCATGATGTGTATTAATTCATACCCTAAAAATTTTAAGATTAACTTAAGCTCCCATATGTCAATTAATGATGTTTTTGGTGCATTGTCCAAACTAAAACCCCATAATCTTAAAGTCATCAATTTGACTGTCATATATGACTAGTTTTCTTTAAATTTTTTCTGATTTTTATACTATATTTAAGCTGAATCATGCTTGTACTTTACTCTTTATGCAAAAAAATAAAATAAATAAAAACTTAAGCTTGTAATATAATTTTTCCCTAAATTATTTACTACTGATTTGCAAATTTGTTGGTTAAAAAAATAATATTATATTTAATAATACATCTCAAACCGGTGGACTTAAAAATTAACTATTAAATTATATTGCAATATGATATGAGTTACAATTTGAATTTATAAATAAATAAATATAATCTCAAGGCACCCTAGACCAGACTCAATGCAAGACTCAAAGGATTTCACATTTCATGAAGAGAAACCTGACTTTATTCTCCACACAGAGGAACCCTTAGGGAAGGGTAACCTTCATAGGGGAAAACCTAAGTAGGGCATTGGGAACTTGCAGATAGATTAACTATGAAACTTGGATATGAAACTTGTAGTCTATGCTTTCTCAACTTAATAACATGACTAGAAGAAAAGTTCTTTCTTGCTGTACATGTAAGAAGTCTTGTACATAACCTTCTAACGTGTTTAATACATGCATGTGTTACATAGATTTGGCTCATGTGTATTTGCTCTTAAAATCGGCTAGTATTGCATGGCAGTAACATACCATTTATCAGCAATCAAAGAAATCAGGCTCTGCTGGTTTCTTCAATGATATGCCATGACTAGATTCAGACCTGAAACTCAGATTAAGACCCATCCTAGAGCTTGCTTCTAATATTGTTGCATACATACTAGACCCAGAACCTGGCAAACCCAGTTCAGTCCTTGCCGGTAACTTCTCCACAGCTCTGAGCTTAGCCTCTTCCTTCCGCTTTCTATACCGCCTCCAGGATGCCTGAATAAAACAGGCTGCCCATGTCCTCCATTGGTGGGAGTGGAACCGGAACTTGTGTCTCAGTTGCTTGCTGTGTAATCTTCTGAAGTGTGAAGCCACAAACTTTAGATCCTCAGCTCTCAGAGAAAATGCTTCTACTGCAGTTACTGCTTTTACTGTCCGGGTGGAGGATGGGAGTACGATGCATGTATGAGGGTCTAAAGCCCACGTTAGAAGTTCCTCGCCACAGAAATCACCTGGCCCTAAACGGCAGAAATTGAAGAATCCAACACGGCCACCATCTGTGGTGTAGGAATCAAGGTAGCCTCGGATTATGAACAGCATCACATTTACAGGATCACCTTCCCGGACTAGGAATGTTCCTTCCGTAGACAAGGCTGGTTTTAGCCTCTCAATTATAGCATCCAGCATTCTTTCATCCATTTGATAAAAGAGTGGCACCTGTTCACTTATTTTTGTTATTTTTTTATCACAAATATATGTTCATGCCTACTTGCACAATTGTACTAGTAAACGCTTTCATGAAAACTATACCTTTTTCTTAATCTAAATTCAGGTTCTATAGTAGAAGAAGACGTGTTGTAGTGAAAAATACCAAACAGGCACTGGGAAGGTGAATTGGATGTCAGAAAAGGCAACTTACTTGTCGAACAAGATCAAGACAAAGGTGGCGTTTGATGTCTCGCCTGAGTTCCAAGGGAAGGCCATTGAGAATAGCTTCTTCATCAACTCCTCCAGTGGCTAGCCACTTGTTTGTGTCATATTTTCTGATGGACTCTCTTAGCTCATGAGGAAGCTGCCTATGATGCATCCATTTTTCCGTATCATTTCTGTTGATTCTCCATTCTTCTATCCTAACAGTAGTGGACTGGAGGTATCTCTGCCAATAAATATGACATGTAAAAAAATACTAGAATTACAGAAACTTACAAACAAAGATGGATGAAGATGGAACAGAAATTTTGATAAAAATGGGTTTACCACTTTAGAGAGACTTACTTGCATATTTGCTATAAGCCATGCAAA